CCGCCGCCGCCGAGGCTAGCTCGTTCGTAGAGGACCTGCACGGCATTAAAGCCCCACCTCCCAGCACCGCGGACGCCAAGTCTAGCTCGTCAGGAGAGGACCTGCATGGCGGTAAAGCCCTACTTCCCGGCACCGTCGATGCTCTGAGGCCCAGTGCTGCAGCTCTCTTCAGTGTCCCTCCGCGGTCTCCCAGTTCAGCAGCACTGACCTGCCTGCCTCCTATCCCCAGCCCTCACACCGTACGTCACCTGCCCTTGCTCACATGGTTTCAACACCCTGCCATGCATGAACACCCTCGAGCACGTCTGCCTTTGATGTGCCTGACCCCTCTGCCTAGAATGTCTTCCCATATCTTCATACAGCTTCCTCTCAGACCCTGTCTGCTGCCTCAGTGGGTGTCCTGCTGGCCCTCTTCCTTCCTCTACTTCTGTCTAAAACAGGACATCTGATGCCCTACTCATCTCCTGCCTAGATTCCTCCCCCGCCAACAAAAGCTCTTCTCACTCAAGGATGGACACACATGCACACCTCCTCACCCCACCTGCCTGTTCTCTGCACATTTCCAGGCAGATCATCCAGGAAGATCTGCTCTGTGACAGACACATAGGACCTATGAACCCAGGGCTGCTGTAGGTCAGACGGTGAAGAAAGAAAGCCCACCTTCTCTATGTTTGCAACATTCCCTGGAAAACGGACCCCCAGTGAGCACTGACCGCAGCCTCCACTGTGGTACTTACATCCGAGTGAAAGGAGACCCCTTAGCCAAGCCACAAAGAACCTCCAACAAGGCTGACCCCAGGACAGGGCGGGGCAGCTGCGCTGAAGCTGCATTACCTGCACGGGCAACAGCAGACCGCAGAGGGACTCGGAGCAGAGGGCCCGAGTGGGGCAGAGGTCTGAAGGAGCATTGGGAATGGACAGTCTACTCAAAAGCAGACTGGAAATGCCTCCCAAACACCACAACCAGTTGGGCTGGCCACCCTGGGCCTTAGTCTGAGCAACTTCCACCTACAGCCAAGAAAAGGCCCATGCACGAGGCCCCACTACGGCACCAGCAGCTCACAGCAGCCTAACAGCCTTGGTGGGAGCCACCTGTCTATCCCTACTTAAACTACCTGAACCTCTGAGAAGCCGTGTGACAACTGGGAAATCAAAAGCAAGTGTCAGGAAGGAAGGAAGGAAGCTGGGGATGTGACTCAGGCAGACCCCTTGTTTGGCATGTGTGAAGCCACAGGCTCAGCACCAACCACAAGAGAGGAGGAAGGGGTGTCTGACTGCAGACAAGAAGTTGGTGAGAGCAGGGGTGGGGAGTCTGGACAGTCCTACAACAGGGGCTCTCACCTTCATTGTTCTTTGCAAAGTTCAGCTTGATCAGGGACTTCCCGTCAAGTTTCTGGAAGACAGACAATTAACAAGAATGAGTAAGAGGAGAAATAACATGAAGGCTGTCAAATCAGGAGCAACAGGGACAGACAGGAAGATCTGCCCAACTGACTCTCTGCAGCTCACACTAGAGAACTCTCTCTGGGAAGACTCCAAAACACGGCCAGGACTCCTGCAGGCTGAAGAACGGCAAGCCTTCGTACTTGCGGGGACGTAATCTGTAAACCCAGGCTGTAAGCAGACCCTAGATTTGTAAACCACTAGACAAACGTAAGAGGCAGTCACTGGGGTAAATGATGAGGCTGTGGAATAAAGACTGGCGTGTATTTCCACAATGTCTGAACTTTTCTTCTTGGTGCCAGGTACCAAACTCAGGACCTCATATACGCTAAGTGTGTGCTCTACCACTGAGCTCCATATCCAGGCCTTGTCTGAACAGCTTTTTTTTTTTTTAAAGATTTATTTATTTATTATGTATACAGCATGTATGACTGACTGCAGGCCAGAAGAGGGCACCAGATCTCATTACAGATGGTTGGGAGCCACCATGTGGTTGCTAGGAATTGAACTCAGGACCTCTTGAAGAGCAGCCAGTGCTCTTAACCTCCAAGCCATCTCTCCAGCACCTTGTCTGAACATCTTTTTTTGTTGTTTTTTTGTTTGTCTGTTTGTTTGTTTTGTCTTTCCAAGACAGGGTTTCTCTGAGTAGCTTCAGAGCCTGTCCTGGAACTCACTCTGAAAACCAGGCTGGCCTCTGCCTCCCGAGCACTGGGATTAAATAAAGGTGTGCGGGACCACCACTCTGAACATCTTTATGGTAAGCACACTATTTAATGTGTGAGTGCAGGGCCATTGAGATGGCTTACCACTGCAGAGGGAAGAACGAACTCCTGAAAGTTGTCCTCTGGCCACATGTGTGGCACAGCAACACTCACATCATATTCTCTCTCTCTCTCTAGTAATAATGGTAATAAATAAAATAAAAACAAAAACAAAATGAATATTCCTAAAACTAGTAGGGAAGCCAGAGAAATGCCTCAGCTGGCCAAGGTGCTTGTCACTGAGCCCAGCAGGACCTACATAGAGGAGGAGAGAAATAAGTCCCACGAATTGTCCCCTGACCTTTACACACATACTGTAGGCCCACATGTACACACACACACACACACACACACACACACACACACACACACACGAACACACACACACACACAAAATGAATAAATGTAACAAATAAAGCCAGTGAGCGTACCTAGGCATTCTGCTTACAGTGTGGTACAAATATTTTTTAAAAGGAAACAAAACACTAAAGTGGAGAAACTGGTGACGTAGCTCGGTGGTGGAGTGTTGTTCAGCACGGCTGAAAACCGGGGACAGCAGAAAAGGAGTGGACATGCCCACAGACCAGGGGTGCTACAACAGAACACACCCTCTAGGAGTCCGAGAAGAAGGGAGATGGCCCAGCGTCTGATCACATCCAAAGTGACTGCTCTGTGGTTTGGCAGCTGCAGAGCACAGAGCAACTGACAAGATTGGATACCCCAAAGAGCATCTGTAACACAGAGTGCAGAAATAACGAAAAGCACCCAGGTGTGACTGAATAACAGTGTCCACCAGAACAGAGGCTGAAGTCATGAGGTCAACTGCAGACAAGGTACCAGAGGTGGCAGTTGGGAAGCAGGGGACAGGGACCGCTAACAAGAGGCAAAGGGCAGGGCAGCAGCAGCAGGGGAGCCCAGTGTGACACCTGTAGGGAGCCACAGCCTCAGGAAGGCAGAGACCAACTAAACACAAGCACAGTCAGGCAGCAGGGATCTGTAAGGAGGAAATCAGGAAAGGATATCCTCCCAGCATGGGGCCTCGGGAAAAGGCCCCAGAGCTTCCTGGCTGTCAGCAGAAAAAGCTGGTCACATTTCCAAGTGAGAAACACCAAGGAAGGGAAGCAGACTGCTTTGGGAGGTAAGGCCACGCTCCTACCCCAAGCAGCCCAAGAGCAAGCGCACAGGCTCACCTGTGTATCACAGCCCCTTCCCTCAGCAGCAGGGACAGTGGGCCGCGCACGCCATCTACACTGGGAGGAATCCTTGGGCCCGCACAGTCCCACACTGTCACCAGGGCCAGAAAGACTGCAGCCAGCTTCCTGCCACCCAGTAGGTTAGAGTCTTAAAGACTTTTGTCTTGTTTTGCTTGATTTTGTATTTGTGGATTTTTTGGGGGGAGGTGGATGCTAGAAAACGGACACCAAGGCCTTCCTCAAGCTAGCTAAGTGCTCTATTACTGAGCCACACCCCAACCCAAAGGGTCTCCTTTGCCAAGGGGTCTCCTGTCCCAGGCAAAGAAGTGGAGGAGCAGCACCATCTGCTCTAACAGGAAAGGCAATCACCAGACTGAATACATGGACAGTTCCCTAGATCTGGATTGAAAATGTTCCCCCACACTCCTCCGCGGTTGTTGGGAGTGCAAACTTGTACAACCACTGTGGAAATCAGTATGGCGGTTTCTCTGAAAATTAGGAATCGAACTACCTCAAGACCCAGCCATCCCACTCTTGGGCATATACCCAAGGAATGCTGATTCATACCATAAAGATACATGCTCAACTATGTTCATGGCAGCACTATTTGTAATAGCCAGAACCTGGAAACAACCTAGATGCCTGTCAACTGAAGAATGGATAAAGAAAATGTGGTACATATACACAATGGAGTACTACTCAGCAGAGAAAAATAATGACAGCATGAAATTTGCAGGCAAATGGATGGAACTAGAAAAAATCATCCTGAGTGAGGTAACCCAAACCCAGAAGAACATGGTATGTACTCACTCATAAGTGGATTCTAGATATAAAGCAAAGAACAATCAAACTGCAACCCACAGAACCAGGGAGGCTACATAGCAGGGGGGACCCTAGGATGACTGTGGCTTATAATAAGTTTTGGCTTTATTCAATCACTGGGCAAGCTTCAGTGAAACATTTCACTATTAAGATAAGAATTTGTACTGTATCAAGCTGATAGTAGAAAAAAAGATGTTCCCCCAAAGTTTACAAGCCCCAGAAACCTCACTTCAAACAGGGCTTTCAAGGAGGTAACCAGGTTAGGATGGGGTCGCACTGGCAAGACCTGAGGAAAGGGCCTGGCCTCGGGTGCTGAGCCTTGACTGATTACCAGGTTGCACGGGCCTTTATTGCTGATCAGGACGGTGACAATTCAGGAAGCTCTGAACTGTGACCAGTCCCCAAGACGTCACAGCACTAGGTGACTGCTGAGATCCTACTGCCCTCAGGACAGGACTCAACACCTGGACCATCCCACTGGCCCAGTCTCTATGGTCTCTCCTTTCCTCTGCCTTCAGCACCTCTCACCCAGACAAATGTATGGTCCCCAGCTGATCTCCCCAGGGCCACTAGGCTCCTAAGAGCACCTTCCTGACAAAACCAGAGCTCTCCTCAATACTGGTTAGGTCATGACCCTGCCTGGGCTTCCAACCCACCAGATTAAGTCCAGGACCGTCAAGGTTCCCCAATATGGCATCTCATGCAATCATGTCTCCTCCTCAGGACTGAGTGTAACAGCAGCTCCTAAGAGGCTTCCTCAGCCACCTAGCTTCCCTCTTTCCTCACCACCCCTCTCTGGGTCATTTCAGTGACACACGATGATCTGTCTGCCCCATCCCCATGTTGGGTGATATGAATACAACTTTCTTTGTTTTTGTTTTTAAGACAGAGTTTTTCTGTGTAGCCCTGGCTGTCCTGGAACTCACTCTGTAGACCAGGTTAGCCTTGAACTTACAGAGATCTACCTGCCTCTGCTTCTCAAGTGTTAGGATTAAAGACAAACATGATTTTCTTTTTGCCCGTTTAAAAAACAAAAACAAAAACAAAAAAAAAAAACAAAACCCTGCCAGGTGGTGGTGCACACCTTTGATCCCAGCACTCAGGAGGCCAGCCTGGTCTACAGAGTAACTACACAGAGAAACCCTATCTCAAAAAACAAAAACAAAAAGAAGCCTGATGATACCCAGAACTGTCAAGAAGCATTTTCTTCTGCACAGTGTGGCTAGAAGTTTAAAATGCGTAGCAGTTTGAAGGGCAGTTGGCCAGTTGCTATGGGAATGCACAAGGCACCTTCTTCTGACTCCCCAGTCCTAGACTACTCCTGTGTGCTCAGTGTGCCCGGGCTATTTCTGCACATTGCTGCGAATGGCAAATGGCAGGATTCAGTTCGGCTCAGCCACAAAGACAGACACAAGGACAATGGTGGCCCAGTGGGTAAAGTCCCTTGCCACCAACCCTGACACTCTGAGTGAGACCTCTAGAACCTGCATGGTGGGAACTGACCCCCACAAGCTGTGCTCCGACCCTGTGCCAGGGCATGTGCACTCACAGATAGACCTACATACTCGCACATATATTAACAAGTAAAAACCATCCTTCTAGAGGACAGCCGGTCTCACAGAAGAGGCTGTGTCTGCTCCAGACACCCTTGAGACTCGTCAGCACCTTGCAAAGCACACAAGCAGGATACAGAGGAGTCACCCACTCTGATCAAACTCAAGAGAAAGCAGACACCCAGGCATGGAGGCTAAGACAGGACTCCTGTGCGTGAGAAGACAGCCTGGGCTACAGAACAAGACCCTGTCTCAAGCAAACAAAAATGTACAATGGTGTACATTCACAGGAGACTAGTCCCAAGACTCCACAAATACTCCAATCTCAAATGATGTAGCATTTGAATGAACCTATGTGTACCCTCTCACCAACTTTAAACCATTTCTAGACTGACTGCTACCTATTATAATATAAATGATACACAAGTAATTATTATCTGATATTATTTAGAAAACAATGACAAGAAAATGGTACAGATATTAATACAGATAAAATTTTTCCACAAATACTTCTTTTTTGAGCACGGTTGATTAAATGCAAGAACACAGAATCTGCAAACACAGAGGGCCAACTGTCCATGCACATGTGTGCACAGAGAGCAAGGACTGTCATTCCAGCCCCGTCAACAGTTCCCCACTGAGGACAGGAAAACGGCAAAGACAAAGTCAAGGCAGAGCCCAGCTCCATGGAACAAGTACCTGCATGGCCACCTACCTCTCCATTGCTGGGATTGGTCCCATACTTCTTAAGCCATGGAACAATGTTCCTGATGGGAGAGAACAGAAAAGGTCACTGGGGGCCAGAGAGATGGCGCAGCAGTTAAGGGCACGTGGTGCTCCTGCATGGGACCCCGCTCCCAGCACCCACAGGACACAGCAATAACAACTATCTGAACTCCAGATCCAGAGAATCCAATGTCCTCTCCCAGCTCCTACAAGTACTCCACAAATGTGGTGCACAGAAGACATGCCGGCTGAACATCCACACACACAAAATAAAATAAATCTAAAAACTGTCACCAGTAGGTGCTGCAGTGACAGCCCCGAGCCTAGGGCTGCTCCAGCCAAGGGCACGGCAGGCTGCACGTGTGGAACGTGCAAGGCAGGCTGCACGTGTGGAACGTGCAAGGCAGGCTGCACGTGTGGAACGCGCAAGGCAGGCTGCACGTGTGGAACACGTGTTTCCACACACTCAGTGACACGCCTGTGCACGTGGACTGTGCTTTCCCATGAGCTCCACTTAGCGTTTGCAGGAGTTTGGCCGCAGTTGCATATAAAAAAGAACTTTAACTAGGCAAAGGGGCAAACAAATGTTATCATGTCTATACAGCAAAACACTAGGTCAGTATCAAAAATTATACTCGCAGTCACGCATGGTGGTGGGCCACCCACTGTGTAAGCCTGGCTACTTATGAGAGGAAGGCAGGAAATCACTTGAGCCCAGGAATTCAATGCCAGCCAGGGCAACACAGTGAGAACCCCGCCCCCCAAAAAAATCTGTGTACAGGGCCCAGAAGGCATAAACATTCATAGTGATGATCCTGAACAGTGAGCTCTTTTTATGGTAAAATGTTCTATTCAAGTATTTTACATTTCTTCTAAATTTTAGAAAATATTTTAGAATCTAAAAACAAACTTGAAATATAAAACAAAGATAACATATGTTAGAACATAAAATAGGGCATAATGCTTCAGACTATAATGCCGGGAACTAGGCACCTTCATTACAGCCCTGCTTTCATCAGGCAGAGAATATTCAGCACGTCGCTGTTCCACATCAAGAACTAACTCATGGGGTAGAAGGACTCATCTCCATCCCAAGTAGTGGCAACAGCATCTGCCAGCTAATAGGGCCTGCCAGAGGCCACAGAGCACTTCCGCCATGTCTCTGAAGACCTGGCTGTCCCTCTCAATTCCTAAAGAGGCTCGCCTACACCTCATGAGGTTTCTAGGGACAAGACTGTCCCTGCTTGGAACCACAAACTCAACATCTCTTTCTCTAATGGACGTCAACAATCTGCAGTATTTGTCAAATCGAATTAAAGACAGTGCTGGGGAACAGATCAGCAGGTAAAGAACTTTCTATGCAAGCACAAGGCCCATGTGGCAGCCAGACAAGACAGCACACGTCCATAACTTCAGCAGCGCAGACCCTGGGGGCTTGCTGGTCAGCCAGTCCAGTGAAACAGCAAGTCCCAAGTTCACTGACAAGGTCCTGTCTCAAAAACATAAGGTGGAGAACAACAGAGAAAGACCCCCGAGGTCCACCTCTGGCCTACACACACACACACACACACACACACACACACACATGCACGCACGCGCGCGCGCACATACACACACACACACACACACACAACTGCACACACAAACAACACATACTAGGGCACACACAACTGCACACAAACAACATGTACTAGGGAACACACACACACCCCACAAATAAAAAGAAATGTAAAAATTCAAGAGGAAACTCACAGCAAATCGAAGACGACGCCTTCAGGGGTGCAGACCGGGTAGACAAAAGGCTGCAGGGAGAGACTGAAGAGGGCAGACTCTGGTCAGCTTCTGGGCACACTCCACACACTCCAGTTCCTACAGCCTTCCCAACAGTTCCAGTGTGCTCTGCCCCGACACACCGACACACCACTAGAGAGAAGGCATCATCCCAACAGATCCTCAGCACTTGGTGCAGAAGCAGCCAAGCTGCTCTCAAGCCCACTTCATGTTGTGAAAGGTTTTGTTGTTGGATTCAAGTCAAAAAGAGGCCCCCAGTGGTGGCCTTGAGGAAGCAAGACTGAGTTCCCTCTCCAGACCCTTGCAGAGCAGGCAGAGCAAACTTTCATCAAAGAGCCACCCGCCCACCCCAAGGCCTGACGAGGCTGCCGTGGTCTGCAGCGCCCACACCACTCTGCTGTGTGCTGGGAACGTGACTGAGGAATCACAGAATCCTTGGGAATTTCTGAAGCACGGGGTGAAAGACCCACGGCAGCCTCAACTACCGTAACGTCCCACACGAGCTGCCCGCTGGGGGACAGCCCATGCCACTGCTTCCTTTCTTTCCTGGGATGGTCTCACGCCTTGAAATCCAGCCCCCAGGAGGCAGAGCGGGTGGATCCTCCTGAGTTAGAGACCAGTCTGGTCTACACAGTGGATCCCGGGTCCACCAGAAACCAGAACAGCATATAGACCCTACCTTAAAAACAAAACAAAAACCTTTGGCAGGGTGGTGGTGGCACACTCCTTTAACACCAGCAGAGGCAGGGGATTTCTGTGAGTTCAAGGCCAGCCTGGTCTACACAGTGATTTTGTGGTTAAAAGGGACGAGTGGAGTCAGAGGCCTAGACAGAAGAGGGGAAGCAGTGCTCTCTCAAAGACCGACTAAACCAGACAGCATTCATTCCAACAAGGCTGACAGGGGAGGATCTCTGCCCGGGACACTTGACTTCTGAGCAGGTGCTACTGCGCTTCCATTAGCACGGCACGGGGCTTCCTGAGGGGCAGATGCAGGCAGGCCCCGCTTCTGGAATAAAACAGCTATGTGCAGGCCTTTCTGCACTGTGGTCTGTCCCCCCCCTTCCCATGCCGCAGCCCGCCCTCCCTTCTCCCTGCGCTGTGACACTGTGGTCTGTCCCCCCCCTTCCCATGCTGCAGCCTGCCCTCCCTTCTCCCTGCACTGACACTGTGGTCTGTCCCCTTCCCTTCCCATGCTGCAGCCCGCCCTCCCTTCTCCCTGCGCTGTGACACTGTGGTCTGTCCCCCCCATGCCGCAGCCCGCCCTCCCTTCTCCCTGCACTGTGACACTGTGGTCTG